ACCTTGCAAATCCCGAAAATGTGACCTCTACTGTTCCCGAAATCACAAATGCGACCCCTTCGTTCATATAGTGCGAACAGAAGGTTGACCCTGATCGGCAGCTCCACGGCGCTGAACTTGCGCATCTCTGGCCACGAAAAGGCCACATCTCGCTTCCTTAGGCCCCTGACTACTGCTTCCACTGGTGCATGTACTTCCATGCTTGCACACACACTTTATCGTAATCTCTCGCTTCAATAGCTGGGTCAGTTTGAAAAAAAAATATGAATTTCACCACTTGGTCTGTGCAATACAAAGGTTCTGCGTTTACAAGTATGTAGGGGCAAGTTCTTAAGTAGTGTGATACGTTTTGAGGCTAGCTCGTTCTACCTTTTTTTTCAAGTGCTATGATGAAGTTGTCATATTACAGCCCATCGCCGTCACAGTCTCTCCAATATCGCATCGGCTGCGTCAATGGTGAATACAAACACGGATTCGGTTGCATCTTCACTCTTGAGTTTAGGTATGATCAAAAGGTTTTTCTGAATTCATATGTAACAACGAATGGAGGCGGTACCTCAAGGATGGTGAGTTATGAGCCAAGCACTTTCGCTTGGCCGGGCCCGGACGCGATCAAGACTGTTGGGGCCGTATTCAATCCTTTTCCCAGGGGGATGTATCCCCCTCCTCTGATTCCAATCCTGGGGGGACAAAAAAGGGTTGCGTCATAGGACCTAGCATACCTCTGTGTTTCTACCTGCCAGACAGTTAGAGCAGCGCTACTACCCTCCACTGATGAAGCACTCTTTTCCCTGAGTGCAAAAGAGGGCCCGTATTTTGCCCTAGAAGGGGGTTGTATCTGGTGGAATTAGCGGTGTACTTTCGGAGGAGAAACATAGTGGAACTAGCTAGAGATGAAGGATTTTTTTGGGAATGGGTCGAAATTTCTTGAGAAGTCTTGTAGTTTTGTATTTTTTGAAGTTGAAGAAACTTTGAAATTTGAAGAGATCACGGACTTTTTTGTGCTCTCGTAAACCCTCCCCCCGTACCATTTCTTCCCTCTCTTTCTCTTTCGGAGGAGTATCAAGATGGTCACGGAGAGTTGGTGGTAGGGTTGAAAATGGTTAGATTAGAGGTAGTAAGTACCGAGGTTGCTCGTGGGACACCAGCTGTGGGAAGTGGGGATAGGGCTGCATTAGCTGCCAGGTTTCCCAGGCATGCGCATTGTACTAACCACATTGTGAGGTGGTTATTGGAAGCATTTGAGCAGTTGCATGGCCGTTTGTTCACAATTGGACCGCATATGGATTCGCGCCCGAAAACGTCATAACTCAGCTCTGAGAAATTCTGTTGACAACTTATTGTGCGGATTTTTTTTTCAAATCTGCATTAGCTGGAAATTCCTTCCATACACTTTTCAGTGTATCTAGTTGTTGACTGTTATCATATTTTGGGTTTGCATTGGAACTCATTCTCACTTCTCTCACCTTCTATTTCTTCTTTTTTGACAGACGCCATTCTGTCGTTTATCAACTGTCAAGCGTGTACTCACCAGCAATACGTCGTTATCATCTCTTCAGCATCGAGAAAACCATGTGTGACCGCTTCTTCGAATTCTTATGCACGTTCAAGGACATTCATTCCCAAAATGCAATTAATGAACAAAAGAACGCATCATAATTGAAGTTCACATGCGCTGAGATTTTCGTAGTGAGTTGCTAGGCTCGAAAACTTTCGTGGATTATTCCATTTCAGGAGAAAACCTCACAAACGCGCCTGATTGCCGGGGCCCAGGAGCCCAGGGATAATTCCCTGGGCTCCTGGGCCCCGGCAATCAGGCGAATCGGCGCTGGCCCTTGATAGACCGACTGACTCGGCTTTGAATTTTTTTACGCACTTCAACTCTGTCACATAACTGAATTAGCGGAGTCATGATGCATTATTAGCTTTTTCTATCTTGTTTCATTATATCGACTGAGGGGCTGTGAGTACCTAACCATTTCAGTGGTTTTGTGGGTTGTTAGCTTATAGTTAGCTTTAGGTTGTGCACTTGAGATACTTGCTTTCTCTCCTGGTGGAGAGTAGAGGCGTCGCTAGTGCTTCAAGGTAGCATCAAAGTGGAGTTTACATGAAAAGGCAGCTCATTAGAAATTAAGGTAGAGGAGGTCAGTGGTGCCAATTAAAGGAAAACCATGAAAACGCCCTAGGACCCGAGAAACGAGGCCTCGTGCTCGTGCTGGTTTCCGCATTGATGCGACTCTTATAGTGGCGGCTAGAGATCTACGGCGGGTCCCTAGCCAGTCGGTGGGCGTGCCGCGTGGATAGCGGTGCGGGGACGGCCCTGTCAGATTGCCGTGGGCATGTACTCTGCTGCGAATTGCGTATCGGTCCACCTGTCTTTCCACTTGGTAAATTTCCCTTTCTTCGACCTTTGACCGTATCGTGGAATCTCCCTTTAAACGCTGACGTCTTTTCTGTTGAACGGTTCGAGTCCGACGGCAAGGAGTTACCTATCGGCGGGTACGCGAAAACGCGAGCGGCACGGGGCGGCCTCCTAAGCTGCTGGGGGCATGTTCTTCGTTGCAGAACGCGCTTCACCTCACTCATAAGAGGCCGCCTTCCTCTCGACTAGGAATATTTCCCCTTGTTCCACCTTCAACTTTAGCGTGAAATTCCCCTCCTAAGTGGTCGTTGGACGCTTCTGAAGTCAACTTTAAACTTAATATGCATTGGAATCTTCCCAATTTGAATATGAGAAGGATGTATGGCGCAGAGCGGTTGATCTATGCCGACCACTTTGCTTTACTTTCTTTGTTCTATTTTCGTGGCTTCGGATCATCTTATCCTTGCTTATGTTGGTAAGCGGTTCGATAAGCGGCAAAGCAAAAGTTCGGCGGCTGAGCTGTCAATGAATGTCGTGTCTAACGGGACGAAATCTGGACCCTAAACAAAGGTTGCTGATGTTCGTTGCCAAGGCAGATCCCTCTTTTGTGAAGACTGCTTAACAGAGAAGGGCTCCTTTCAGGCCTAAAGCAATGTAGTATGCTGAAGAGAACTGCTCCCAAAGTTTTAAACTACTGTTGGAAAGAATGTAGCCATGTCGGAACAGCAAGACTGGATTCTGTCCCTATTTGTGTGATCTCTGCAGATTCAATGGTTTAAGGCCGTTTTTGCAGGGCAATAGCTTCCAATTATTTATGAATGGCATTCGTCTTAGGAACGATACGTCGTTTAAGGAAGCGGTATTCTTCTCAACGCGATTTATCGCAGTAATGCGGCCAGGCAGCTGTGGTGATGGCTGATAAGTTTAATGTCTACCGTGCGAGCGAGATAGGTAAAAACGTTAACGGAACGAAAGCCAGTGTGACTTAGAAGTAGAAAAAGTGGTTTCTTGCCGTTGAACGTCGTCAATAACCTGTTACTTGGGTATAAAAGCCCAGGAATAAGGTCGACTATAATCATGGACATCGAGTCCAGGCTGACAGCCTACCGTTTTGTCGGCTATGCTGCCGTCACGTTCTCCGCCATCGCCGTGCTCTCCATTTGTGTCACTTTGCCGATAGTCTACAACTATGTTCGACATGTTCGACGCAATGCTCACTTGGAGTTGATGCAGTGTAAATTATCGGCAGAAGATCTTCGATCAGATGTCTACAAATTCCCGACCGCAAATCGTTCTACCAGGTCCATCGAAATTGAAGAATCCTACAGCAGTTCGTCCATTGCAGCTAGCAGTAACGGGAATGGTAATGGAAATGGAAACGGAAACGGCTGTCATGGTTGCTGCATTCCCGGTCCTCCAGGGCCACCTGGTCCAGCAGGCGCACCAGGAAAGCCTGGAAAAGCGGGTACACCTGGATTGCCTGGAAATCCTGGTCGACCGCCTCAGCAGCCTTGCGAACCGATTACACCACCTCCATGCAAACCGTGTCCACCAGGCCCACCTGGACCTGCAGGCCCTCAAGGTCCACCAGGAAATCCAGGACCGATCGGACCGATGGGTGAACCAGGACCCGCTGGTCCTCCCGGTCCTCAAGGAATGAAGGGTTCACCTGGCAGTCAAGGACAAATGGGAGCACTAGGTGATCAGGGTCCACCCGGTGAGCCTGGTGCGAGTGGAGAGCCAAATCCTGGAGCACCTGGTATGCCAGGTCCACCAGGGCCACCAGGTAACAGCGGTCCCCAAGGACCGCCTGGAAAAGATGGAGAACCTGGCGAGCCAGGTGAGAAAGGGCCTCCAGGACCACCTGGAAAACCTGGACTGGATGGAATGCCCGGAATTCCTGGGCAGCCTGGAACTGATGGAAGTCCCGGAGAGCCTGGAGTCTGTCCCAAGTACTGTGCCAGAGATGGAGGTGTATTCTTCGAAGATGGTTCACGTCGCTGAAGAATTCGCGTGGAAATTTTGTCAGCATACTGAGATTTTCAATGATAATAAAATCTTTACATCTTCCTTGTCAGCACATTTTTCCAAGCGCTATGAGAACAAAAATATAGTAATTGAATCTGGATGGGCGTGTTGCCCTATATGAAGCCTCTTGCAATACATATATGAAGCAGAAAAAAGTCAAACCCTAATTCGAATAGGAGTGTTCTACTGTAAATGCAAATTGTTTTACTGAGAAGATTTTGAAATGATTAGAGGTCCAGGCTGTTCGGTGATCTTCGTTCTTTCTCTGGCTGTGCGCTTGGTCTTCGTTGGACAGTTTCTCTTCTCCATAGGTCTCATACTCCTTGTGACCGTCCTCATGACCGCTGGGAAACAGTGTTTGAAAGCGCGAGGAGTAGGAGTTCTACGGTAGATAGTTATCGATGCTGCCCATTTGTGGTAGAAGGCACTGGTTACGAGTTCGCGAGGGCTTTCTAAAAAGAATCATAGCTACTTAAAGGAGCGTCCAAATTTTTAAGTTCGGCTAGCTCAAAGTCTTTTCTTGAAGCCACGAGTCGGGATAGGTCTCAAACGCTATTCCCTCCTAGAGTGAGGAAGACGAGTCTCCAAGCGCAGGAGGCGCGAGGTTATCGTAATTCAAAAGTGCAGGAAGCGGCGCTAAGGTTTTGCCTTGTGTGCTACTGTGGTGCCACTCTTATAAACCGCAGCGTGGCGTTTGCACCCTCTCGCGAAATACGTGCTGTCGCGTTTCCAATCTCCTTGCAGCGTTGTGTCTTCCGTCATACCACGGCTGCCCTCACAAGGGAAATTTCGGTGTGTTTTTATGGCGCTTGCTTTGTTTTTCCCCATTAGCATTCCTCGTCTCACTTCTTGTCTGATTTTCAAACAAAACAATGCACCAATTCGGTCACGCATCGTATCTTTAATGATCGTTTCCCATTTTGTATTGCGGTTAGTGTGTCAAGGTAATCAGTGGGAGTCTCTAAAAAGTATTTTCGCTATGGACAGCGGGACAGCATTGGGAGCTGCAGTGTGATATGAATCCATACTAATACATGAAATGCATATTAACCACGTATTCGATGAGCTCAATCTTTCTTGTGTTGATTGGCGTCAATGCATTTGCGATTGCTATGCTTTTGATCCCCTCTAAAAAAATATGCCTTCTTCCTAAGGTGGCAACTGTAGCTGCGATTTTGCTTACGCGAATGAGGGTAACTGGTAGAGAAGGGCCCAGGAACTATCTGCGGTGCACCGACTTTCAAAACAGTCAATGCTTAGGGAACTGGAATAATGTGATTCGCGTTAGGTGCTATGCATGCGCTGTTCTCTTTGCCTCGAGGGCCGCTATGGCGTTGATAGAAGAAGTCTTCAAGTTGTAGAAGTAGAAAAAGGGACTAAATGTAAAAAAGTTGCAGTAATAATGGCCTACTTTTTTGATAATACGATACTTTGGCTCGGCTAATCTTTCACCTTTGATTCTCGATGCGCAACCTTGAGGGCCAAAGAGTTATCTAGTGGAGAGACAGGACGGACCCTCTAGGGTGTCGCCCAACACAGCGGGCGTCCCACATCGAGGACATGCCCCAGTGGAGTGATTTCGAGAGCAGAAGAGAGCGTGTGTTGAAGGGGGCACAGCGATGAGAGTGCATCAATGCGCAAACCAACGGGCAAGGAAGGGGTCCCGTTTTTCGGATTTCGGGCCTTTTCAAACGGTTTCTTCTTTATCCTTGCTCCACTGACCACCTCTACTCTTCATTCCAATAAGCTTCCTTGCCATCGTAAAATCCTTCAAAGCTTCAATCCACATCTACCCAACAGTTCGCTCTGTAGACAGGTATTGCTGCAGTGGAATAGTTATACTGTTGAATGTGCTAGGTGTACGAATGTTTTTCTCTCTAATGAAACAGCGTTCTACGCGTAACCATGTGTGCGTATCCCTTGGTTACCCATTCGGTCGTTGATCGTTCCCCCTTTTGGGAGTTCGGGATTCTGAGCTCCATTTGTTACATTCGACCGACAAATTGGCATGCGCTTTGATCTATGTCAATGAATGACTCGCGGGGATTCGCCCTCTTACAAGTTCATGTTTTCTACCTCCCGAAAACGTCTGTACCCGTTTTAATCCGAGCGCCAGAGGGATAGAAGGTTTGTTGACCGGACGACGTGTTCCTTAGACTTTGTTCGCACCCGCGTATAAGGAAGCGCCACTTGTTCCTCACCTCTTTCCCGCCCCCCCCCCGGATGACACCTACAGACCTGAAATTTCGAATGGCTTCCATAAATTTCGTATAGGCTCAAATTGAATTCTAATGCATCTTAAAGTTGCTATGAAAGTCCTATGGCGGGCGCCAGCTCAAGTAGATTGAATAACACCGATCCTATTTCTACTGAATCTGGGCTTGTTCAAAAATATTTTGCACAGAATAATGTGAACAAAGTGAAGAGGATACGGCCAATTTCAAGGAAGTACCCACCAGGGTCCGTAATAAAGCAGACGCGCTCTTCAACCCTTCATGGAGTTATGGTGGTTTGTTCGGTCAAATTGCCATGAAGATTTTTTGAAACCTATGAGAAAGTAAGCAATCTTTGAAAAGCACTTGACTTGGGGTCTTCATCATTCACACGATGGTGGCGGCCCAATCGACCATTTTCCTTTTACAGCATCGAGGTTTTAGTTGTGAGCTGAGAGTTGATTAGTTGAACGTACAGCTAACCGTTTCATTTTTTAATTCAAGGAGCCAGTTTATCAATGACCTGAATGAGATAAAAAAAAAATTGCGGAATTGTATGTTCATGTTTAGATGGTCACTTTGACCGATCTGCTGTGGCTTCAGTGTTACGTACGGAGAGTGATCGTGTACCGCATGTCCTCGTTAGCCAGGCAAGCAGCACGAGATTTGCGTAGAACACGGTGAGTACTGCCTCTGAGTCTCGCCTAAAAATAGATATTCCCATTCCGTATCTTGGTCCTATATCTATATTATCAATCCGTTTCAAGTTCCGAAAGCCAGTTGGTGGCCAAGGCGTTGGACTCGATATCAATCAGTTCGTCTGTATCAGGTGGCATGGAAGATGAAGTAATTTCGGTCTACACTCTTAGTTCTCTTGGAAGCGAGCCAACCAACGATCAGCTGGTTTGTGCTCCTGGAATTAATTTAGTCTGGTTATCATCTGACGAGGCTGCAAGAGACCTTTCAGATGCCAACATTAGATGACATTGTCGATCATGATGGCACCCTCACACCGAGTGTACTTACTCCACGTGCAAAAGACGACACTTTGACACCAGGAATGAGACGATGGCTAAGAGCGCTTGAAAAAGAAGTCGGCATGCAGCTGGGTTATTGCCAAAGCAACCACTTGGGGTCAAATGGTTCGTGAATTTTTTTATGAGATTTTTGATTTGAATCTATTCGTAAAAGGAGATATCATGATGCGTTCTGACCTTCACGGTTTTTAATGAAGTCGAAAAGCGTGCGTATTCATTTTTCAAATTTATTGCAAACCACGGACGTCATCTTGTCAAATGCTATGTGGGTGTTATCCAAGCTACCATTTCCGTGGTACTTTTATATCACTCATGGGAAGTGGGCTGAATAGAAGGAGGAAATGAGGTTCATGATGGTAGTGCTTAAGGCCTTAAAGGCATAACCCAAGCAGGTGTCATGTGAACCATTCCTTTCGTTCAAGGATAGACCCTTGAAGGGCGATCACAAATGTTGCTATCCATGCATGGAAATCGCGCGACAAGGGTACAAGGGGTATGTGAAGAATCGGCTTGAGCTCCATCTTGCATTGCCTCTTTCTCTCATTGCTTAAGCCAGTTTGCAATGGCGATGGTGATTGCTGGCTGGCCCCGCTCCTTACTAATGCTCCAGGAACCACAGTCAGTTTGTCCTTGGTTTAGCCATCCACTTATACCCCGAATTTTTTGCCATCTTTTGCGCTTTCAACCCCTTTAATTTAGGCAGAGAGTGTAAGTTCTATTGCCTCATCGCTGTCACTGGCGACAGAAGATGGTGCAGAAGAAGATGGCGGTCTCAATCGAAATCGACCTTCGAGCACCAGGAAGCAACGCCTTCATGTGAATTTCTTTTTCTTTGAATTCTTGAAAACAACGCGGAATTTTTCTTTGCGATGTTGTTTTCCTCTTTTCTTCTATTTTTCCAGAGGCATGAAACTCATCTTTCATGATATAACGTATTTTTTAGGTTGCCTTGCAAGCAAGCAAGCGTAAAGTGCTGGACTTGATGCAAAAGCGTCGTCCTGTCACTCCGTCCACAGGCGTTGACAATGTCGAAATGGGTGCCGATGCTGGAGATCTGGAAGGTGGTACCGACCCAGGCAGAGAGGTTGGCAGGAATCACGAGTCTTCAATACCCATGACATGAGATTTATTTACTAATTTGCTTCCTAAGTACAAGCGAAGATTTGTATAGTATAGTTGGTTTCCTTAGGATTTCTGATTCATGACTTCGACTACATATGATAACGGTTTTCCGAATTTAGGAACGTATATGATGCAACAAAAAACAAATATTTGGAGTTGTTCTGTTCTTTTCTATTAGCGTATTTCCAGTCTCCACTGCCACCGAATGGAAAGCGGAGTCCGGTTGAAATGCAGGTTGTAGATAAAAAGGAGAAGCGGAAGAAGGGTAAAAAGTAAGTTTCTCAGGTTTTGTCGCTGCATAAGTTGTACACGACCCACATGTGTTCTAGTCGGTCTCCTACTACACGGCAAACGCAACCGGGCCAGAGTTTGCAGGATTCTCCGACATCGTCTCTGGGCTTCGCTAAATCGAAAGACTACTAAATCTGTTCACTTCCGTGAAGTTAGTTTCAATTTTGATTTCTTTCTTTCGTTCTAATGAAGGTCCTTTTTTTCTTCATTCACAAAAGCCTGAACCGTCGATGTATTATTTGTAATGATGAAGGTGAAATTCATGAAAAACTATCGATGCAGGTTTGTTCCTTCCCTTCAAGTTCTATAATGACATTGACAACACGCCCTGGTCGCCCTTGCTGCCAACTTTTTTCTTGGGCGATTTCTTTTCAACTTTTTTTGTACCTATTTTATAGATCACACATTAGCATAAATGATTTGGCTCTCGGAATGGTCATATATGTTTTACTTTGGCAAAGGTTTCCTATGTCGTATAGTATTTGAATTTGAGTTTCCTCGTTCTCATTTTATTGTCATGACTATGGGAATAAAAAGTAAGTAAGTAGTTACAAAACTATGCCAAAAATTAGGTGCCCATTGAAACAACTGCGATGGAATTCCACTGCAGCAGCAATATTCACTGAAATTGCTTTTCGATGTTATTACATGTATTTTAGTCGAATATATATCAGTACCCTCGGAAACTTCATGGCATAAGCATCTAACATCGTTCGAATTATTATGTCTAATCCAAGTTTTGGGTATAATCCACCAGAAATCCAGATTGTGAGGTGAGGCGGTGGTGCTCGTACGCGCTTATCCCACGCGGTCAAAAAAGCAGAACTAGCGCTGTCGTCAAAGGTCAATGATTTAGGCAAAGATGGTTCCGTTTCTCTTTCCTTGTTTGATCAATTTTAATATTGTGTTTTTAGAATGTTCTCTGGGGTCAGTCGCTTCATTATGAATTGGACGGAACGTCATCGTCACCATCCAAAGCATCATGCAAATACTTGAATATTACTGTCCATGCGAAGGAAGCTCCAACAACGTCTCCGGCTGTTCCCACTGAAGCATCGCCGGGAAGTGCCCAGGCAGCGTCTGTTCCAGAAATGGAACCACCAAAACCAATTCTTCTAGGATATGTGAGTGGTTAACACCTTGCATTGTGTGTTCTTTGAAAGTGCTTCTTTTCCATTTACCCTATGTTCTCTGACTTCAGACGTCGCTGTACGTTCCACAGATACTTGACGATTGTCAGTTGACATTGTCGAATTGCCATCGTGAAGCGTATCCGTTGAAGCCACCAACGGGGATCCAGTCAATTAATGAACCGTACGTTTTTTGAAGCTTTATTTTCTTCCTACTCCATTTTTTGCTCTTATTAGCAACATCATTGTTGTCATTACTTTTTGTAATGTTTTGTTTTCAGCTCAACCTCTGAGTTTTCTCGTCATGCAGGCCATGATCCTCGGTTGTGCTACGGTGATGTCACCCTCGGCTTTCGCTTTTTCCCAGGAGGTTTACCACAAGGGGCCGGTACCACTGGTACTGAAGAGAGGTATGTTTGGTAACTAGCCATCGCTTGGTAACACTAGATCGTGGCGGTTCCATCTTTTGAAGTATTATTGCCCCCCCCCCCCCAAAGCTTTTTTGGCAACTTCCCTCGGATTCTCGAAGTCTCCATGTTTCTTTATGTATTGATTTTTTGAGGTTTCTTTTCACTAGCAATTTTCTTACACAAATGCCATGTTGTTCAGTGATGAAGAAGTACGGATTGAAGAAACGCTAGAAGGTGCTAAACCAAGCATGGTTTCTCCAGCCACGGTTAACTCATCTAGCCAGCATGACTGGAAAGCTTGGAGCAGTAAGAGTGGTGGGATTTTTATTTTTTGCGTAGCACAGCTTCATTGATTCCACTCAAAAGGAAGATCTAGGAAGTGCAATGTGTTCGATGTGTCGTGGGAAAATCTGGTTGAAAAGTGCCAGTCGTTGCCATCGATGTCTCGTCGTCTGTCATCATAAATGCGTTGAAAAAGCCGCTTCTGGGATACCCTGTACGCCACATGCGATCACTCAAGGAGATACTGAATTTGCTGAGGTAATCATTCTTCCTAGTAGTCATTAAGGTTTTCTGCTTTTTTTTACCTCGCGGAAACAATCAAGTTTTGTTGTAAGCAGCTGAATTTTTGGCCGGTAAGCTTTACTCAGTTTTGTCGGGTTAGCAAGTTCTGTTCAAAAAACCACGTAGTGATAAACCGACGAAGTATTAGTTTTTGTAGCCGCCCTTGCCGAATCAAGTAGATTTCGAGCGCATAAATAATTGAAAAAATAAGAACCGAACAATATGGGAAAGCGATACAATGTAACAACAGACTCGCATCATGCCAGATAGCAGTTGGACGTTAGATTATGTATTGGTTGGGGTTACCGTAATCATAGAAAGAATGTCATCACTAAATGTAGGGTGTTATCCTAGAATTTTGAGAAAAAAAAACTCGACTCACTGTCAGTTTCCTCTCGTTAACCCTTTCACGACCGTGTGGCCCGCCGGTGGGCCACACTTCCACTCGGAGGCGACTCGTTTTTCGTGGTTTATTTGCCATTTTTTTGTTCAAAACTGCCCATATACATTATCGAATCCGCGAAATAATGCGCTAATTACTAATAATGAAATTGTTGGAGAGTTAATGATTATTGATGAAAAAATTTGAAAAGAAGTGAAGTGACGCATTCATAACGGCGGTCGTCAAAGGGTTAAAGTCGTTCGTCCTGCGGGCTGTCTGATCCCAACCACA